AGAATTACATCAAACCTATTAAAGAATTAAAAAACCTTATTTTCGTAAATAAACCATTCTCTATAAAATCAATCCATGGTCGCAACACAATAAACAAAAAATGTATAATGCACCTTTTTAATATAAATACAACATTTTTCTTGCTACCAAACTTAACAACGTTTGATGGAATAATTGGACTGGAAAAACTTACGTCGTAATTGATCTGAGAGAAAAAAAGTTAATAACTAATAGCAGTTCGGAGGAAATTAAATTTTTGAAATGTGCAGATGTTAATTTTACAAAAGATGAGGATATAGTTGTACCGCAGGAAATATTAGAAAAATTTCAGGAAATGTTAGGAAACCGTACGGGTGTATTTGCAGAGCCAAACGAAGCGTTGCCGTACAATACTAACATTATTGGAAGATCTAACAGAAAATGAAGATCCGATATATTCAAAATTGTACCCATACCCAATGGGCGTGTCCGACTTTGTAAATACAGAAACACAAGCGTTATTACGAGACGGCATTATCCGACCATCTCGGTCTCCATATAACAACCCTGTTTGGGTTGTAGATAAAAAAGGGACCGATGAACAGGGAAACACAAAAAAACGCCTAGTAATAGACTTCAGAGAGCTTAATTTGAAGACAATAGATGACAAATACCCTATCCCAAACGTAGTTTTAATCTTGGCAAATTTATGAAAGGCAAAGTACTTTACCACAACAGATTTAAAGTCTGTGTTCACCAGATACTACTCACCGAAAACGACAGAGAAAAAACGGCTTTTTCAGTAGGAAATGGGAAATATGAGTTCTGTAGACTACCCTTTGGATTAAAGAATGCACCCAGCATTTTTCAGAGAGCCATTGACGAAGTGCTCAGGGAACAAATAGGGAAATCATGAAATCGTGAAACACATAGCATGGGTCTTAGACAATTTATATGAGGTCAAAATGAGAGATTCGCGCGAGAAATCTAATTATTTTAAAGAAAATGTAGAGTATTTAAGTTTCGTGGTTTCACGCGGAGGCCTAAGAACATGCCCTAACAAAGTAGACGCAATCCGTAACTACGAACAACCGACCACACTATTTAATGTCAGGTCATTGCTCGGACTAGCTAGTTACTATAGGTGTTTTATTAAAGATTTTGCATCTATTGAAAATGGCAAGGTTAGTGCAGGACAATCAAAGAAAATCAACGTCAGGCATTTGAAAAACTTAAGAGTGTTCTCGCGTCTGAAAACGTAATGCTATTATATCCAAATTACAAAAAAGCGTTCGACTTGACGACAGATGCTTCGTCTTTTGGTTTGGGTGCAGTCTTGTCACAGGACGGAAAACCTATAACCATGATATCACGAAATTTAAAGGACAGGGAACTAAATTTTGCAACCAACGAAAGGGAGTTATTAGCAATAGTATGGGCCTTAAAACGCCTCAGGAATTATCAATATGGCGTGAAAAATTTAAACATTTTTACTGACCATCAGCCTTTCGCCGTCTCAGATCGCAATCCAAACGCAAAAATTAAGCGCTGGAAAGCTTTCATTGACGAGCACAACGCCCAAATTTTGTATAAGCCAGGAAAGGAGAACTGACGCACTGTCCCGATAGCACATCCACGCGCTAGAGGAGGATGTCCAGTCAGATATTGCCACAATGCATAGCAAGCACCTACATTATTGAAAAAACAGACAAACCGGTCAACTGCTTTCGGAACCAGATAAGCAGAACTTCTTCAGTTAGAACGGTCATTATGTTTGGTGAAAAAACTCGACTTCTCTTATATTTCTCGGATAGAGAAACACTTATACAGAAAGTATGCGATGTGGTCAAAAAAGACGTAGTCAATACAATTTTATGCGAACTACCAGTACTGGCATTTATCCAACATAAGTTAATAGAAACTTTCCCGACAACTACATTCCGTTACACCAACCGTTTGGTGACTGACATCCTAGACAAAAATGAGCAAAAAGAAATTACGGTGTCAGAAGATAACAGGGCTCATAGGGCCGCTCAAGAAAACGTGAAACAGATTTTGCAAGACTATTTTTTTCCCAAAATGACTCATATGGCTAATGAGGTGGTCGCAAATTGTAAAATATGCCAGAAGGCAAAATACGATAGACACCCTCAGAAACAGATTCTCGGAGAAACACCCATTCCCTCGTACGCAGGCGAAATCCTACACATTGACATATTTTCAACAGACAAAAAATACTTTTTAACTTGCGTAGCAAACTTTTAAAATTTTCAATTGTCCAACCAATCACTTCCAGATCCATTGCAAACGTGCAAACCGCGATTTTACAACTTATTAATTTCTACCGGCGACCGAAAACAATATACTGCGATAATGAGCCTTCTATAAAATCCGAAACAATTAGGTATCTTTTAAGCAACCGGTTTAACGTGGAAATCGTTAATGCACCGCCGCTTCACAGTACATCGAATGGAGAAGTGGAAAGATTCCACAGTACACTAACAGAAATAGCACGGTGTTTAAAGATCGATAGAGGTATTGGGGAAACGGTTAAATTACTACTCCTCGCGGCTATAGAATACAATAGAACAATTTACTCTGTAACAAATAAACGACCCATCGACATAATTCATTCATCAACCATAAAGCTTAACGCAGAAATTAGAGATAAAGTCTCAAATGCACAGAACATCCAACTACAAAGATTAAATAAAACTAGACAAGACAGAAATTTTCAAGTAGGAGACAAAGTTCTCGTAAAATCAAATAAGAGGTTGGGAAACAAACTTTCCAATTTGTACACCGAGAAGCAGACTTGGGGACCACAGTCTTAATAAAAGGGAGGGTGGTCCATAAGGACAATTTGAGGTAATTAAATGTTCACCATAGACACGCTAGAAGCATCAACTTATTAGGCACCGCATTAAAAATCGTAGCCGGTACTCCAGATTTCGATGACTTCGAGAAAATTAAATTCACGCAGAAAGAACTTATAGAATCAGAAAATAACAGATAAACATTAACACAAAGACCCAGGAACAAATAAATATCCTAACAAACACAGTAAACATTTTAGTAAAAAACGCAAAAGTAGAACAGATAAATACAGAAAATGTGTATGAAAAATTGCTATCAAGAAACAGAATAATTATTTTCGAACTCGAAGACTTAATGTTGTCAATTACACTTTCGAAAATTGGAATAATCAACCCCGCAATTTTAGATTCAAATGATTTACAAAATTTAATCAATGAACATTTTACAAATGTTACTGTTACTGTGCTAATGGAAGTTGCTCAAATTAAAGTTTTATTAAATAATAATTTTTTACACTTTGTATTAAAATATCCTAAGCCGTATGTAGCTTGTAAGAAGATAATCTTGCACACTGTTGAAAAAAACGACACTATTATTAATTTTGCTGAAGACAATACTATAGCTGACTGCGGTAACAAAATCATGCCGATTGGAAACTGCAGCACTGCCCTTACAACAACATTTTGCAACTCAACCTGCGCACAGCAACTTCACTCAGGAGGCAACGCACACTGCTCGACTCGCACCAGCCACCTTGAACACCTAACAATCATCGATGATGGCATCATCATTCTTAATGACGGAACAGCTACGATCAATGGACAACTGGTAACCGGAACGTTCTTCATTACATTCGAAGACGAGGTAAAAATAAATAACACCGTATACCAAAACTTGAAGAGCTACGGAAAGAAGTCACCAGCTTCAGCTGCATCAACAGTCCTTAACATAACGGGCCATCAAGAAATACTGAGTTTACCATACTTACAAAAATTAAATATGAAAGACATACGTTACATTGGCGAAATAGAAAAGGGTCTGGAAATACGGTCTATAATATCTGGAGTGGCCACGATCGCCTGCTTGGTCACCTGCTTTACTACTTACAAGCTCTATCAAAGCGGGCAGAGACTTTCATCTAATCGGACGTGTAATTCGACGCTCCTCTTTCACACTGTGTTCTTCCGGAGTTTTACGTATTTTACCTAGCTCAGTTGTCTTGTCAGTAACCCTACAACCTACATAAATACGTATTACATATAGACATTAAAAGTTAATGACGGTTTATTTAAATTAAAATAAAAATTGACTATTTTTCTTATTGCTCTGTTTGGTCAGTGTTTACCGCTAATCCTAAAGTTTGGTGCGGTTAGTGACACTACGCTCTTAGTGCTTTTCGCGTACATTTACACGAAGCTGCATTCGTGCACTTGTTTCGATCGGTTGCTCAACGCTCACATCCGACCGCTCTCTGTACCGCTGCTGCTGCTCTGCAACGCTTACACGCTCTCTGCCCTGCTGCTGCTCTGCTGTTCAACGCTAACATCTGACCGCTCTTCACCCCGCTGCTGCTTCAACGTTTATACGGTATATGCTCCGCTGCTGTTAAGCGCTTGCAGCTGTTGCCCAACATTTCTCGCTCACGCTCGAGGCAGATACGGATGCTCATATACTACACCCGCGCTCCCGTCTTCTTCTGTGCACAGTGATCTGATAATTAACCAAAATGACCATCGCTTGCACTGCTTATAAATGCGAGTATAATGGCATTATTAGTGGCGATACCTACCTCATCTGCTGGTTATGTGATAACTGTTCGCATGTTAAGTGTGCTGGAACTGGCTTCAACGGCCGTGTTGGGGATTTAATCTCCAAACGAGTTGGTTTTACCTGGTCCTGCACGTCTTGCCGCAAGATGACGGATGAAATGCGTACGTTCATGAGGCAAACTAGGAATGGATTTGTTGAAGTTCGTAAACTCTTCAATGCTATGAACGACAAATTCCTGGCAGTGGAATCTCAGTTTCTTGGACTTAAGATTCTTAGCGAGTCACCGAATAGAAAAATCCCAAATAATAATCTTCAACTTCCTGTTTATGATTTACCAGCCACTGGCTCACACTACCCCTTCTGGACCTTCTTCTGTTCCCTCGCGTGCCTCATTGGCTACGGAATGACTTGGAAATTTTCTACCGGAAGAAAACATGGCCTCTCTTGAATTACATCTGGCTCCTGTTGCTACCAACTCTGCTCCTGCATCCGCTTCTACATCTTGTGCTGTTTCCTTCTCCAACGATATGCCTGTTCCGAGAAGTAACCGTCCAAGGAATAGCGAGGCGACTTCTGATGTCTCTGGGATTCCTCTGAGAGGGGTTATTCAAAAATCCATATTCGTGACGAGACTTAATCCCGAAGCCACTGCCGAGGATGTAAGGATCTTCCTCTGTGAGAAACTGCATGCCCCGGACAACGCTATTTCTGTACATAAGTTCATTTTTAAGCAAAAGCGCAAAATCTCTTCTTTTAAAATTTGTATCACTGATTCTTATTTCTCTAAGGCACTTGATTCTACACTTTGGCCAGTTAATACTTTATTACATGAGTATCTTCAGAAAAACCAGTCTCGTGGCCCAAATTCAGCTGTTTCAAAAAACTAAGAAAAACAAATCTGTCAATTTTATACTAAAATGTGCGAAGCCTACTGGGTAAACTGTATGTTAGTAGTCTTTCTATCGACGTCGACGTCATTGCTTTAACTGAAACATGGCTAAACTGACCGCATCTCCCTGGGCGGTGGCGTGTTAAGTGCAGTTCACAACTCACTTTCATCGAAGATTTTTCCTTTTAAAAACCCTCTTTCCATTGAATTCGTTGCAGTTAAAATTAATATCAACAAGAAAGCAAGCAAACTTCGGCAAGCCGAAGTTCATATACCCTTGCAGCTATTTCAAAAACTAAATACTCTTGAAAACGTTAAAATTATGATTTCACTTGCGTGTATGCTTAAAAACATTGAAGCTATAATGATTTGCAGCCTAATTATTCGATAGTTCCTATGGCAGCTATACGATTGTTCCTATGGGAGCTATATTCTATAGTCGTCCGATTTTATGTTTCAAAAGCCATATTTCTGTCATCATTGTTAAAGGGTGTTTTAGCCTTCATAAAACGTTGGGCCAAGGAGTTTGACGACCCATATACAACAAAGACTCTTTACATTTCCATGATTCGCCCTATTTTGGAATACTGCGCATGTGTTTGGAGCCCTCAATATATTGATCAACAAAAATTAATCCAGTCTAAAAGCAATTTTTATTATTTGCTCTCCCACAGCTGAATTGGGACCCGGTGAGGCGTTTGCCACCTTACTCTTCAAGGTTAATGTTAATTGATCTAAAGTCTTTAAAACATCGTACAATGTGGAGCGTAGAAATTTTTTTGCATAAGCTTCTCATAGGTGAGGTGAATTCTGGCCTCCACATAAGCTATATTAACATCGCTGTTCCCTCAATATTTACTCGTACTTTTCGACCTATTCACTAGCCAATTTGTGGATCCAACTTTGCCCTTCATAAGTCCTTTCGGGTGCTTTGTTCCAATTATAATGCAGTAAACCCTGCAATATCTTTGGAAAATTCTATTGATCGGATATCATCTAAAATTTTTTGCTTTTCTTGAATCATATAATATTTAGTTAGTTTAAGTTATAGTTATTTTTAGCATATATGTGTAAGTTAGCATTTCATTGTTAACACTAAATCAATAAATATATAAGATGCCAGCGAGATCAACGTCAGCGTGACCTTCAAATTATTATTGACAGCTTTAAGAAGTCCAAAGACGCCCTTCATCTAAGTAAGGGAGGAGTTAACACAGTTTCACAGCAACACGGAAGTTCCCAAGCTGATCATGCATAACCGACTAAAATAATGCAATACCACCGACACCTACGGATGTTGCACAACGACGTCGCCAAAATCCCAAGCTTCGGTCAGCGCTATCAGCACTCTGATGCAACGGCGGCTACCCAGACCATGCATGGGCAGCCGGGTCAGCACTTCTAGGGCATAGGGCTAGCTTTCGTATAAGAAATATTGTATTTAGCAGTTAGTTGAATTTTGGAAATAACGGTCAAACCTCGCAATTACCAAGTCTTCTCAGTCGTACAGTACAGTGCGTCTTTAAATAAAACCTTAAACAGGATTTATAAATTATTAGTTTATATATATAAAAATATATATATATATGTAAGATTGTGAAGTAACATAAGCAGAGAAGCAGCAGGATAAGTAGTACATTAGCCGAAAAGTAGAAAGCAGTAGAGCAGTATCGAAGAATGGGCAGTTCCAGAAGAGGAATTCAGCAGAAGCAGAGGTAGAAGCAGAGACAGAGAAAAAGTGACGCCGTAGGAAAAAAACCGAAAAAGCCAACAGTCAAATATTTTGTATCTTTCTATACTAACTTTATATAATAATAATAAAAAGCAAGTTGAGATTAACCATCCCAACTCACATTTGGCTCGTCCTAGTCTAGAAAGTGTAAGTGACTACGCCGTCCCGAGGTGTCTCAGACAAAGTGGAACGCGAGCTACGAACGCCGATGAGTGAGAGGGAAAAAAAGCAGGAGCCTTCCAAGATACCAGTTGTAAAAGGGAGACAGCCGTACTACACAAGGTCAGTTGCCGCAGCAGTAAAAAATCTTAGAATGACTGCTCCGAACAACGAGAAGTAGAAACTTGAAGAAGCAAGTGGTGGTCAGAATTTCAGAGCTATGACTACTGCAAGCTGTTCGATCGCCGAGATTACAAGGACCCTGAAGGATCTTGTCCAGCTCCTCGCCTTAAAAATGGAAGCGACGAGCAGAACAATACCAGTAGCTCAATTACTGCGGAAAGCTTTGCCAAAATCATTCCTGAGTTTGACGTTGAATCCATACCGGTCAAGCATTGGTTTGACAATTTTGAGCTGAATGCTGAAGCTTGTGGTCTGAACATAAAGCAAATGTATGTACAGGCTCGTGCCAAGATGACGAATACAGCAAAATTGTTTTTGGATTCTACTCACGTACACCAATACAAATTGGATCATATGTATCATATGCAACAAATTGGGTCATATGTCTAAAAATTGCCGTGGATTAGCTGCTTGTGTCCAAGTTGTGCGCAGTGCGAATCGCATGAAGAAGGTCACCATTAACGGCGTCGAAGTGGAATGCCTGGTAGATACCGGAGCAAATGTATCCGTGTTGAGAAAATTCATCTTCAACAAAATTCCTTATCTTATCTTGGAGAAAAGTGAATCGAAGCTGCGTGGTCTGGGAAAGAAGATCACATGCCCAATTGGACGTTTTTTTTCCGATGTCGCAGTAGACGAAGTGACGACTTCACAAAGCGTCGTTGTCATAGACGATGAAGACATTGAATATGATGCGCTGCTCGGATATGATTTCGTCTCTAAGTTCAGCCTGTCATTCTCTGCGGAAGGATACAAGTTTTCTTCTCTGCAAGGGGAGAAAGCTTGTGAGGAACCAAATCAGATGAGTATTTACAATATAATTAATACAAGTGACGAAATCGATGTTCCTTCCCAGTACGCAAAGGAAGTGTCTATGCTGATAAAAAACTACAAGGCAGCGGATTTGGTAGCAGAGGTTCCAGTTAAGCTGCGAATCGTTCCAGACGGCGAGATCATCACATTTCGTCAGTCCCCGAGTCGATTCGCCATTGCCGAAGAAAATGATGTCGAGAAGCAGATCGACGAATGGTTAGCTGCTGGTGCTGGTAACCAAATAGGATGGCACGCGTCGTATATGCGTTGATTTTCGTACACTGAATTCGATGGTGCTGAGGGACTGTTTTCCCGTTCCGGTAATCGACGACGTGCTGGAAAAGCTGCAAAAAGCGAGATATTTTACAGTGATGGACTTGGAGAATGGCTTCTTCCACGTTGCTATAGAAGAGGACAGCAAGAAATACACAGCATTTATCACCGAATCAGGAAGTCAATCAGGACTTCAATAGAACCCCTTTTGGATTTAGGAACTCGACGGCTGTTTTTATTCGCTATGTAAACCACGTATTTCAAGAGCTGATGAACAAGGATGTTCTTGATTTATATATGGATGATATAATAATTCACGCCGAAAGTGCAGAACATTGTTTGGAAAAGATGGCACTCGTTTTTAAAACAGCTGGAGCGTTTGTCTTAAAGAAAATAGCGAAAATGTCACTTCTTGCAGGAAAGGATTTACTTCTTGGGCCACAACATTGAAAACGGAAACCTATGGCCTGGGCAAGAGAAGATGGCAGCAGTCAGCAAATTTTCGGTGCCGAAGAATGTCAGAGCAGTCCAAGCTTTCCTGGGGTTGACTGGATTTTTCGACCATTAACTGACCTGCTGCGAAAAGATGTTCGTTTTCAAATGGCTGAGCCTCAGATGAATGCATTTCAGAGTTTGAAGGATGCGCTGACAAAGGAGCCGGTTTTAAAATTGTATATCAGAGGAGCAAAAACTGAGTAACACACGGATGCATCAAAAGACGGATTTGCAGCAGTGTTAATGCAGACTCCACCCAATCCAGTATTGGAGCAAAAAGATAACCGAAGCTGAGTCGCGCCAGCACAGTTACATATTAGAAGCAAAGGCCGTATATCTAGCGGTAAAGAAATTCAGACACTATTTGCTGGGATCGACGTTTAGGTTAATAACAGATTGCGTCGCATTCAAGCAAACCCTACAGAAGGCGGATGAGCCAAGAGCAGTAAGGCAGTGGATAATTTATCCGCAGGACTTCGGGTTTGCAGTTGAACACCGTCCTCAGATGAATGCATTTCAGAGTTTGAAGGATGCGCTGACAAAGGAGCCGGTTTTGAAATTGTATATCAGAGGAGCAAAAACTGAGTTACACACGGATGCATCAAAAGACGGATTTGCAGCAGTGTTAATGCAGACTCCACCCAATCCAGTATTGGAGCAAAAAGACAACCGAAGCTGAGTCTCGCCAGCACAGTTACATCTTAGAAGCAAAGGCCGTATATCTAGCGGTAAAGAAATTCAGACACTATTTGCTGGGATCGACGTTTAGGTTAATAACAGATTGCGTCGCATTCAAGCAAACCCTACAGAAGGCGGATGTGCCAAGAGCAGTAAGGCAGTGGATAATTTATCTGCAGGACTTCGAGTTTGCAGTTGAACACCGTCCAGGCGAACGACTTAAGCACGTTGACTGTCTTAGTCGTTATCCCAATCGTGTTATGCTGGTGTCTTTAGAAATCACAGCTCGAATTAAAAATGCTCAAGGAAAAGACGAAATGCTGAAGGCAATAATGGAAATTCTCGCCAGCCGTCCTTATGAGGGATACAAGATGAAAGGTGGACTTGTCTATAAGGAGATAAACGGCAATGATTTACTTGTAGTCCCAAAAGTGATGGAAAAATATGTTATTGTAGACGCCCACAATTCAGGTCACTTTGCTCTTCAAAAAACTGTACATGCTGTTCAACAATCCTATTGGATTCCTCATCTGGAGCAAAAGGTACAGCAGGTTGCAAGCATTTTGTATTTATTTCGCCCCGAATGTCAGTTCTAAAAGGAATTTGTAGGTTCATTTTAGAGTTTTCCTCTTCAATTATGTCAATTATTCTTTTCTCCAAATCTTCTACTTGATTTGAATTTTAAAAATTAATATTGTTCATTTTTTTCACAATCTTTTGATCCCAAAGTTGTTACTTTTTTATTGACGGATGGTTCGACGTCGACGCGTTGAGGGTTTTGTGTTCCCAAACGTTTTAACTTTTTGTTGACGAAAAATTCTTCGTCGGAGTGTTCATGATTTTTTTGTCCCAAACTATATAATTTTTTGTTGACGGATTTTACTACGTCGGCGTTTTCAGGATTTTTGGATCCCAAACTATACATTTTTTTTGTTGACGGATTATTCTACGTCGGCATGTTGAGGATTTTTAGATTCAAAACTATTTGATTTTTTGTTTACGGATAATTCTACGTCGGCTTGCTCAGGATTTTGTGATCCCAAGCTAATTAAACTTTGTTCCACCATTTGTGATTCTGTTTTTATACTACTTTGCTCTCCAAGGTATTTTTATACCCTTGCAGAGGGTATTATAATTTCAGTCAGAAGTTTGCAACGCAGTGAAGGAGACATTTCTGACCCTATAAAGTATATATATTCTTGATCAGCATCACTAGTAGAGTCGATCTAGCCATGTCCGTCTTTCCGTCCGTCCGTTTCTACGCAAACTAGTCTGTCAGTTTTAAAGCTATCTACATGGAACTCGTAAAAGTTGTCTTTCTATTGCAGGTAGTATATAAGTCCGAACGAGCCGGATCGGACGACTATAGCATATAGCTCCCATAGGAACAATCGAAAAAATAAATTTAAAAAAAATTGTTACTTTGCTGTTTCTTAATTTTTTTTTAGTTCTTCGACATATAGTAATGGTTAAATATTTTAGAGCTACGTTTTAAATTTCATCAAAATCGGACGACTACATCATATAGCTCCCATAGGAACAATCGGAAAAAAATAAAAAAAAATTATAACTTTGCTGTTTTTTAATTTTTTTTTAGTTCTTCGACGTATAGTAATGCTTAAATATTTCAGAATTATGGTTTAAATTTCATCAAATTCGGACGACTTTATCATATAGCTCCCATGTATATTTTCTGCTTTGTGATTTTTTTTAAATTCTTTTTGACTTATTAATAATTTGACAGTTCAGAATTACGCTTTTAATTTTATTAAAATCGGAAAACGATATTATATAATTGCCTTAGGAACTATCGAATAATTAAGTCGCAAACCATCATATCTTCAATGTTTTTAAGCATATACGCATATAATTGATAATTTTAATGTTTTCAAGAACATTTAATTTTTGCAATAGCTGCAAGGGTATATAAACTTCGTCTTCCCGAAGTTTGCTTCCTTTCTTGTTTTAATTAATTTTCTTTTTTAATTGTGTTTTTGTTTATTATGCATTTATTATTATTTTTGGTTTATTATTCTTTTTTTATTTTGTATATATTACCAGCTATTAAAATGCTAATGCTATACTGCATTAATTGATTTCCATTTAAATTTTTAAATCATGATCACTGTCACAATGTTGGGTGTCGTCGATTTGTTGTGGATGTTTTAATTATTCCACTTAAAATGGTTGGGTTTTTTGCGGCGCATATTCCGTTTTCAAAATAACTATTTATAATTAATTATATTTTAAGAACTTTTTTAAGCACCGCCCCACGTTGGGCGCCAATTAAGTTTGTCACTGGTAAGTTTGTTAAACAAAAACTTTTTTTATGTTGTATAACTTGGTGTTAAACCTTTTTTTATTCAGTCATTCGAATTCTTTACTTCCGATCTCTTTCTCGATCCAAAATGGACTGCCGGCTTAATTCTAAAATCTTCTCCAACGAACCTCGGCCAGAAGCTTTTCTTTGAGCTTCAAGAACTTCATGGAATCGTATTGTGAAATTCAAATATGCTGACCGATGCAATTTGTTGACTGCCAATTGACTGGCCTTCGAGTGGAAGCTTATGTTTACTTTAAGTTTGGTTTGTTTATCTTGGTAGGGAAACCAAGAGCGGACTCCAAAGCCAACGGCATGGGCAAAGACAAAGGCAAAGGCAAAGATCGCTTAAATTGAATTTTGAAAATTGTTTATTAATTCCATAGCGGCCCGGTTTCACTTCTAAAATGGATCGTCCCGATTCATTATGAATTTCTTTTAATCGTTCTCTTAGTTTTGATAAAAAAAACATTGGTCTTGGTTTGTATCTTTTTCTTTAAAAGTTTCTTCGTGGTTTGTGTTTTCTTCTTTTAAAATTTCTTCTTGGCTTGTATTTTCTTCTTTTAAAATTTTTTCTTGGTTTGTACTGATTTCTAGTTCTGGCCGTTGTTTTTTGGTTACAAAAATAAAATTTTCGTATTTTATATAAAGTATAAATATTAAAAATATAATTATAAAATTTAATAATATCAAGGAAATTGATATTTTGGTGCTATTAATTTTTATAAATGGATTGAAAATGTTTATATTCTCAAGAGTTAGCTCCGAATTATTTGAAGCAATATATTCGGAAATGTCATAATTTATGAATTTATGCTGAGCCATATAGTTTTTTTTTCGCTGTTAATGTATTATTGTTAATGTATTGTTGTTATTTATATTGATTGAGTCATTGAACAAAATTAAATATGAACCTTTTAATTGAGTGTTGCCTACTATATTTGTTCCTGTTTTTAAAATGGCACCATCATGTAAGACATCTATTTTATTATTAATTTTTCTTATTTTAGAGCAGTTGGCTTTTTCGCCGTTTAATAATTTTATAAAACAATTAGTTTCAAAACTTAATTTACAATAGTTGTTAAACATAACTTTCTTAAAATTAGTCATTAGGTAATATTTGTTTTTGCAATTGGCAACTTCATTATTTATTAATAATTTTCCATCGGATTTTGCAATAGCTCTTGTTTTGTAAAGGTCACATTCCCATTTTATCATGGGAATTTAATGTAAACTACAAGTAAATCATTATTTAATACAATTTTAAAAGTTGATATGTCCATTAGGTCAGATAATACTACAGATTGTTTTTCATGATTGTAAATTTCTTTAATTTCATTCTCGTTTAAAATTTTTGTATTAAAAATTTTTGCTTTTGCTAAGATAATGGTATCTAATAAATTTTGTAAGTCAAATGTGAGTAACCGCAAACGATGTTTTCGTAAAATTGTTTCCTCGTTGAAAACTACATTTTTAAACTTTCAGTAAGATATTTTACTTCATTAAATAATTTTGAATTTATTGTGAATTGATTGTTGTTGTTTTCAATTAGGCTGTCTATTTTGTTCTAAACCGTTATAAAATCATCATGATCAGGAGTACCTGTTATCCATTTTCATTTCCATGTTATCCTATTTCATTAATTCCTCTTTTTTGTCTTATTGTTATTATTTCTGATAAAGTTAATTTGATGAGTTCCCATTCTATGTCTGGTTTTCAAGTTTTGTTCAAAGATCTTGTTTCCGTGTTAATTATTTCTTCATAAAAACTTAAATTAGATATGTGAAATAAATCTGCGTATGAATCGTACGTCAATAAGTCTTTATTGTATTAGTATTCGTGACTTGTATAGTCAATTATTTCAGAACTTGATAAAAGTATTAGGTTGAGTATAAAAACTGAAAAAAACATTTATCTGAAAAAATTATAAAAAATTGTTGTTCATATTACAATTTTATATTATCTTTATGAATAATCCTATTTCTATTGTTGATTAGTATTTTGTTACGCAAATTTTCCTTTACAATCATGATCAATTTTATTAAAAAGGATATCAAATGGTTTTTCATATTATATAATATTTTTGAGCGGCTCTAATGACTATTTGGGAATAATTAGTTAAATTAAGCTCCTCTTTTATGCAGCGAGCTATTTCTGTTAGTGTCGAGTGTGCCCTTTCAACTTGTCCGTTTGAAGTAACTACATATGTCTTGGGTCTGCGTAATGTAAAGTAATTCCACACCTTTGTGCAAATGATTTAAATTGGGCCGAGGTAAAACTAGGGTCGTGAATGGTCATAATTACTTTTGCTTGGGGAAATTGTTGAAGTTACCTTAATTTCAATGTTTAACTTATTTTGAAATTTCTTTTAGATCGTGGTATATTGAATACGCGTCTATATATATATGTAAATTTTTTTGTAAATATATGTAAATTGTCTCCTTCTTTAGTTGGAGTAGAAGCCTGTTATATTTATTTTCATTACAAATCACACAATAATTGATATATTCTTTCAATTTTTTAAATAAGTTTGGCCAATAATATAACCTACTGATTTGTTTATAATTTTCATCTAGGTCCCTATGAGCTCGACTGAGTGTTTATTCTATTATTATGACTTTATCTTCATCGTTTTCTATGACTTGAAGAAAGATTCTCGTAAAAAGAAATTGGTCAATGAAATTATTTTTTAAGGGTAATTCAATGCGATATAAGTTTTCTAATTTACAATGAATTCCTACCGTAATGTTTGGTGGAATATACTATTTTAATATAGTTATTACATTTTCTGGTGTGTCATATTCATATTCAATTCCTGCCAAAAACTTCCAGTGGCTCATTATTGTAATCCTCCCCGTTATTAATAACAGTTGTTGCTTAAACAGATTTAACAGGTTTACGGGTCTCTTGTATTACATTTTCAAAACTACTTTCAGCAGAATGCTGTGGGTTTTAGTCTGAGTCTGACTCTTCTGTTTGTTCTACATCACTGTTTGCAATGTTATTTATTTGTATTCGAGATAATGCATCCATCGGCTACAACATTTGTTCTACCGGGTTTATATATTGCTGCAAGGGTATATAAACTTCGTCTTCCCGAAGTTTGCTTCCTTTCTTTGTGAGGAGTCTTAAAACTCCCCACAAATTCCGAGGCAGGAGAGCTGCATAGCAACAGCGAAGGAGGCGAGAATGCCGGAGGAGTCAAGGGCAACAAGGTCAAACGGTAAACAACGGACCTTGGACCCGGGCAAAGCGGAGACACCGTGAATTAACGGTACCACGATGGACATTGGACCCTCATACGGCAAGGGCAACAGGGTCGAACGGTAAATTGGCGGACTTCGGACCCGCACAAAGAGGACGCACCGTGAACTAACGGTGCGGCAGTGGACCTTGGACCCGATCACGCGAGCTGGAAAAGGGAAATAACGGGACCATCACAGGCTATAAAAGGCGGCGCAAGCGCAGCACATAGGAAGAGTAATAGTGCGAGAATCAAAGCGAGTGCGTGTACGCGAGACTAGTAGCAAGTTAATCAAGTGCCGAGTACCAGGATCAAGATCGCAAAGTCGAGACGCCGAACGACTGAGAGTCTACAAGGCTGAGGCTTCAACGCTGAGATCCAAAGGGTGCTAGGTCGTGGTTAAATCGAGCTCAGGGAGTCCTTGCGTGGAGTCTGCGACAAAGGTGGCTGGGCGAAGAGGTCGAACCGAGTTCAACCGGCTAGGCGATACACCTTGCCGACACAATCCGGACCAACTTAGGGAGCCTGCGATAAAGGTAGCTAGGCGAAAAGGCAGAACGGCGTTCTACCTGCTAGGCGAAACACCTTGCCGGTCCCGATAGTGAGGTTCGCATAACATCCAGAGTCTCGAAGGAGCCGTCACAAGGCAGATACCAGCAAGCAGTCGACGACGAGGAGCGACGCCGCGAAGGACAGCGACGAGGAGCGACGCCGCAGAGGACGACGACGAGCAGCAGCAGCAGCTGAAGAGCCGCGAGGCTTGTACAAGGAGAACAAATAAAGACAGTCACGATCCCAACCGAACTCTTGCGTTATTCATTGGTCAAAGGCAATCACCCAATATAAATTTGGTGGAACGAACCCATAACCTCTCTGAGCTAGCCGCCCGTTAACGTAGCGAGCGAGAATACATAGAAATCAGGTCGTTACATCTGGCGCCCATGAGTGATTGCCCTGACCAAGAGAACAAAAGATCAAAGATGGGAAAGTCCTGGATTTATAATCTCAGGAAGGAGGACTTCGCCGAGGTGAGCAATGTTCTGGGAATAGAACTTGAGGGCTCGGTAGAGGCGATGAGGAAGACCCTGGCAGAGACGGTTGACCGCATAACAGAAGACCCGGTCGTGGCAGAGTTAGTGGCAGGTCTGGAGGTCAAATTCCGGAAGCTGCCGGTCCCAAAATTCAAGCTAACAGCCGCAGATGCCGAAGGCCTTATAGCAAGCCTGGATATTCAGAGCATGGCAAGCGACGGCAGGCAGCGAGAAGGCAGCCGCGAGAGGAAAGAAAGCGTACGGCCACATCCGCAGGACTACGCCAAGGTGGCCAAGCAAGTCCGAGAGTGGAACTTTCGGTACGACGGCAACGACAAGCCACTGGAGTTCCTGGAGCAGGTGGAGTGGTCAGCCGTGACATATGGTCTGGATATAAACCAGATCCCACGAGCAATGCCGGATCTGCTGCAGGGCAGAGCCCTAAAGTGGTTCATAGCCAACAACCGGCAGTGGGACAACTGGGGAGACTTCATATTCAGCTTCCAAGGATATTTCCTTCCTCGAGGCTACATGGAGAAGCTTGCGGACCAGGTCAGGCAGCGGAGGCAGACATACGGGGAAAAATTTAAAGATTACATGGTGGACATGCAGACGATGATGCGGCCCCTGGGTATGTCTGCCAAAGAAGTCCTGAACAGGATAAAGGAGAACAGCACGCCGGCCCTCCGAATGTTTATCCGGCCGTACGAGTGTCGGCACCTGGACACCCTGATGGCGCTGGCAGACGAGTTTGAGGAGCTGGAGGAGCAACGGGAGAAGTTTGAAATGGAAAACCACTCCCAGAGGACACAGAACCGCCCAGTGCCAAGGCCAAGGGCAGAGCAGGGTGCGGTGTGTAGGCGGTGCCAGGAGGACACGGAGGCGCCACGGAGGCATACGCCGCAGGAACACGGACCACCAGTCGATCGCAGTGGATTTATACAGAATCCGGCCAACGCGTGTCGCAGATGCGGGGGCGCGGACCACTGGACGAAGGAGTGCCGGAACCGGCGACTCACATTCTGCTGGCGATGCGGAAAGATAGGCGTCCGAACGGTGGAGTGCTGTTCGGGAAACGCGCAACGATCCCAGCCTCCGAGGGGCGGCCAGGGATCGTAAGGTGCTGCCTCTCAAAAATAATGGGCGACCTGAAGGCGGAAGAAATGCAACTGTCCGCCACGGTGCTCATAGGTGACGCGAACGTTAAGGCCACGGTGGACACCGGCGCGACAGCGAGTTTCATCAGCAAAGAGCTGGCGGACAGGCTGCAGGCGGCAGGAAAGGTTGGACCCACAAAGAGGCAAGTACGGATGGCGGACGGTAGATGCGGAGACGTAAAATCGCAGTTAGAAATTCAAATCGGACTTGGCACAAGAAAAGTGTCAATGGAGCTGCTGATCCTCCCAGGATTGATTGACGAACTGGTGCTAGGATGGAACTTCCTCACCAAAATCGGAGCCGAGGTGAAATGCGCAGGTCACAGAGTGATGATACCGGCGAGGGACAGACACCGAGGCTGGCTAGAGGAAAAACTGTCGGTAGCAGTCGTGGAAGCCGCGAAGGAATTTTCGGAGAAGGATGTGGACCAGTTTTTAAAGACCGAGTTGGAGAGCCTGGAAAATCTGCAAGGCACGTCAAACGTGGCAGTACACAGGATCACCATGAAAGACGATCAGCCGGTCAAACAGCGGTACTATCCGAAGAATCCAAAAATGCAGGGCGAGATCAACGCCAAAGTAGACGAGCTACTTGAAAAGGGATGCATCGAACCGTCAAGGAGTCCGTACAGCTCACCAATAGTCATGGTGAGAAAGAAGACCGGGAAATGGAGGCTCTGGGTGGATTTCAGGCAGATCAACGCAAAATCCGTAAAGGATGCATATCCAATGCCGATGATCAACTACATCCTGGACCAACTCCGAGAAGCTAAATATATTAGCAGCCTCGACTTGAAGGACGGGTACTGGCAAATACCGTTGGAGGCAGCCAGCAGGCAGTATACCGCATTCACAGTGCCAGGGAAAGGCCTGTTTCAATGGAAAGTTATGCCTTTCGGTTTACACTCGGCATCGGCAACATTCCAGCGGGCGTTGGACCAGGTAATTGGACCTGAAATGATGCCGCATGCTTTCGCGTATCAGGATGATATAATCGTCATCGGACGGACACTAGAGGAGCACATGCGGAACCTAAAGGAAGTATTCAGAAGACTGCGAGCGGCGAACCTGAAAGTAAACGCGGATAAGTGTAAATTCTTCAGGAAGGAACTTCAATACTTAGGGCATCGCATTACAGACCAGGGCATCGGGACGGATCCAGAAAAGGTATCAGCGATAGCACTGCTGAAACCACCGGCAAATGTCAAAGAACTACGGCAGTACTTGGGAGTGGCGTCGTGGTACAGGCGTTTTGTGCCAGATTTTGCCACGCTAGTGCATCCGCTGAACGCCCTTCTCCGAAAGGGTGTCAAATGGGAATGGACCGACGACCACCAGCAGGCCTTTGAAGCTGTCAAGGCAAGATTGGTCGCCGACCCAACTTTGGCATGCCCGGATTTTACAAAGCCGTTTGTGCTGCAGACCGATGCGAGCGATTATGGGCTGGGCGCCATTCTCACTCAAAATTCCGACCAGGGTGAGCGGGTGATATCCTATTCCAGTCGGACCCTAAACGGGTCGGAAAAAAGTTACTCCGCCACTGAAAAGGAATGTTTAGCAATCGTGTGGGCCATAAGAAAATTAAAGCCATACCTGGAGGGATACCACTTCAAAGTGATAACAGATCACATGGCCTTGAAGTGGTTGAATAGCATCGAGAGCCCAACCGGAAGAATCGCGCGGTGGGCACTGGAGCTCCAGCAATACGACTTCGAAATAACATACAGGAAAGGCCAGCTGAATATTGTGGCGGACGCATTGTCGCGGCAGCCCTTACCCGAAACCTGCCGAAGGGTGAAAACGAAGTCGCCTGGTCAGTCAGCAGAACAAGCCGAATGTAGCTGGATAAGGGACATAAGGGGCAAGATAGCACAGAACCCCCAAAAATATCCGGACTATTTAGTGGAGGCCGACCGGCTGTACCGGCACATTCCTCACAGAGCAGGCAACGAGGATGTGGTCGCATGGAAGCTATGCGTACCAATCGGGTCAAGGCAGCGAGTCATGGTGGAGAACCACGATACGCCGACGGCCGGACACATGGGCAGCCGGAAAACGATCGCGAGGGTGGCAGCGAGGTATTATTGGCCGGGCATGCACCGCGACATTAGGAAGCACGTGCGGAACTGTGAGAGCTGCCTCAGGTACAAGCCCAGTCAGCTCCAGGCAGCCGGAAAAATGCTCACACAGATCCCAGAGGAGCCATGGGCCACAGTATGCGCCGATTTCGTTGGGCCGCTTCCTCGGTCGAAACACGGAAACTCGATGCTACTAGTGCTCGTAGATCGGTTCTCGAAGTGGACGGAAATAGTACCAATGCGGAGGGCTACCACGGAGACGCTGGAAAAGGCAATCCGGGAAAGGATTGTCTCAAGGTACGGCGTGCCGAAGGTCTTAATCACCGATAACGGGGTACAGTTCACGAGCAGGGCGTTCAAGCGGTTCCTGACAGAGTTGGGAGTGCGGCACCAGTTCACAGCCCCGTACACACCACTAGAAAATCCCACGGAGAGGGCCAATAGAACCGTAAAAACAATGATCGCCCAGTTTGCCGGACGAGACCAGAGAACGTGGGATGAGAAATGGCCAGAATTGCAGCTGGCCGTAAACACTAGTGTAGCCGAGTCCACAGGGTATTCGCCGGCATTCGTCACGCAGGGTAGAGAGCCCAGGTTACCGAGCGCGTTGTTTGATGAAGAAACCACCGGCACAGGAAGGGAAACCCAGACCCCGTCGGAGAATGCGAAAAAAATAAACGAAATCTTCGAGCTGGTCAGACGGAACATGGAGAAGGCGGCGCAGGATCAGGCGCGCCACTACAATCTCCGGAGGCGCCCTTGGAAACCACAGATTGGAGACACGGTATGGGCCAAGGAGCACCATCTATCCAAGGCGGCAGAAGGATTCGCGGCGAAACTGGCCCCCAGATACGAGGGACCGTTTAAAATAATTAATTTCGATTCTCCGGTTATTTGCAACCTGCGGCACGAACACACGGGCAAGGAAAGGAAAACACACATAAGCCAGTTGAAACCCCAAAGCAAAGAGGGGCAGTCTCAACAAATCCGGCGTATCGGAGGAGCACTGTACCCTAACCGAAGAAAGGGGGAGGACGATACACAGTATCGAAATTAACGGCAAGCACACACACACAGGCACACACATCAGGAGCGCGAGAGCGGGACAGGGAGGGTTTAAAAAGCCGTAGGCACCGTTACCGGCTAAACACACACATGCACGGGTTGCGTAGGGGGCGTGTACACGGAGGGCACCGTTACTTTTAAACGTTACACGGACACAGAGCGGAGAGCGAGTCCCGTTACCGGTACACGTCTCCGCGAATAACGGAACCGAGGATACGCGGAAGAACCGAGGTTTCGTCAGCGACGGCGCTGCATGGTGCAGGTCTTTCCAAACAAGATCGGCATCATGAGCGCACGTGGATATAACACCCAACAGCAAGTGAAACACGAGGTGAGGGAGGAGCGCGCCAGGGAACAGCCAGTGGCGAAGTGGAGCCGGGACTCCGATTCCGTTCTCCAGCTTCTGGCGTCCCCCCTGGTGTCGCGATCCCCGTCACCGATCAGCGAGGCGGAGGAGGAGAAGAAGCGCGACGGCAGCGAGGGAGGCACCGGAAGGCCAGGTGGGCCAAGCTCATGCTGGACGGGGAGCAACGCTACCGGGTCAAGGTAGCAGGGGGCCAGGTGCGGGTGTTTAAGGCCCAATAAACACAGTATAGCAGCTGACCCAGCAGTTATTCTTTGGACAGGGGATCACAAGGCACAACACAGAAAAAAAAAGAGTGGTCCGCCGCAGCAGCCGATCGCGGAACGGGGGCGGTGAGGGGGGAATCGCGGGCCAAGCACGCGGCCGGCAGAAGACACGAGGCTGCCGCAGGCGTAGGGCGAGGGGGGTCACTTGCCGACGCAAGGGTCTCCCGGGGCACGCGGTCCAGGGTCAGCACCCCGAGACATGTCAGGGGCATCAGGGGCATCATGGTCATGGTGTCGCTGTAAAGAAAAAGGTCGTTAATTAAAAGAAAACTACAATCAGCAAGTTAACTTACCAGTTTTCTCAAAACAACGAGGCCGTGAGAAAATTAGGGACGGGGGCGCCAGGCGATAGGCGGTCGATCGATAGTTGCGATCGATGGGTACAAAAAAAATACTGGATTTCTCAAGAAACGGTCACACGGAGGCAACTTAAGACAACGGAAACGATAACGGCAACAACGATGGCAATGCTGGAACCACTATCGATAAGTGCGATCGAGGTGTGGTCAGACGACGGGAATCGGAATGGTGATGTCAAACACGGGGAAATGTCTGGGCGGGAAATTCAAATTCCACGCGGGGATTATCGAAGCAACAAGATGCAGTTTTGGGAAAGTTCAAGTCTTTCGGGGAACTGTCTGGGGAACAGGCTAACGCAGCACAGCCATGGGAAAGTTAAAGGTCTTTCAGAGCGCTGTCTGGGGGGAGTCTTACGAGGGCAGCTCAGGGAAAGTTGAAGTCTTTTGGGGAACTGTATAGGGTCACGAGGAGAACGAGTTTGGGCGGGGAATTTGAATGAACGAACAACAGGGGCGGGGAGATCACCACTTTCATAACATTTCCGAAGAAAGGGGGAAATGTGAGGAGTCTTAAAACTCCCCACAAATTCCGAGGCAGGAGAGCTGCATAGCAACAGCGAAGGAGGCGAGAATGCCGGAGGAGTCAAGGGCAACAAGGTCAAACGGTAAACAACGGACCTTGGACCCGGGCAAAGCGGAGACACCGTGAATTAACGGTACCACGATGGACATTGGACCCTCATACGGCAAGGGCAACAGGGTCGAACGGTAAATTGGCGGACTTCGGACCCGCACAAAGAGGACGCACCGTGAACTAACGGTGCGGCAGTGGACCTTGGACCCGATCACGCGAGCTGGAAAAGGGAAATAACGGGACCATCACAGGCTATAAAAGGCGGCGCAAGCGCAGCACATAGGAAGAGTAATAGTGCGAGAATCAAAGCGAGTGCGTGTACGCGAGACTAGTAGCAAGTTAATCAAGTGCCGAGTACCAGGATCAAGATCGCAAAGTCGAGACGCCGAACGACTGAGAGTCTACAAGGCTGAGGCTTCAACGCTGAGATCCAAAGGGTGCTAGGTCGTGGTTAAATCGAGCTCAGGGAGTCCTTGCGTGGAGTCTGCGACAAAGGTGGCTGGGCGAAGAGGTCGAACCGAGTTCAACCGGCTAGGCGATACACCTTGCCGACACAATCCGGACCAACTTAGGGAGCCTGCGATAAAGGTAGCTAGGCGAAAAGGCAGAACGGCGTTCTACCTGCTAGGCGAAACACCTTGCCGGTCCCGATAGTGAGGTTCGCATAACATCCAGAGTCTCGAAGGAGCCGTCACAAGGCAGATACCAGCAAGCAGTCGACGACGAGGAGCGACGCCGCGAAGGACAGCGACGAGGAGCGACGCCGCAGAGGACGACGACGAGCAGCAGCAGCAGCTGAAGAGCCGCGAGGCTTGTACAAGGAGAACAAATAAAGACAGTCACGATCCCAACCGAACTCTTGCGTTATTCATTGGTCAAAGGCAATCACCCAATATAAATTTGGTGGAACGAACCCATAACCTCTCTGAGCTAGCCGCCCGTTAACGTAGCGAGCGAGAATACATAGAAATCAGGTCGTTACATCTTGTTTTAATTAATTTTCTTTTTTAATTGTGTTTTTGTTTATTATGCATTTATTATTATTTTTGGTTTATTATTCTTTTTTTATTTTGTATATATTACCAGCTATTAAAATGCTAATGCTATACTGCATTAATTGATTTCCATTTAAATTTTTAAATCATGATCACTGTCACAATGTTGGGTGTCGTCGATTTGTTGTGGATGTTTTAATTATTCCACTTAAAATGGTTGGGTTTTTTGCGGCGCATATTCCGTTTTCAAAATAACTATTTATAATTAATTATATTTTAAGAACTTTTTTAAGCACCGCCCCACGTTGGGCGCCAATTAAGTTTGTCACTGGTAAGTTTGTTAAACAAAAACTTTTTTTATGTTGTATAACTTGGTGTTAAACCTTTTTTATTCAGTCATTCGAATTCTTTACTTCCGATCTCTTTCTCGATCCAAAATGGACTGCCGGCTTAATTCTAAAATCTTCTCCAACGAACCTCGGCCAGAAGCTTTTCTTTGAGCTTCAAGAACTTCATGGAATCGTATTGTGAAATTCAAATATGCTGACCGATGCAATTTGTTGACTGCCAATTGACTGGCCTTCGAGTGGAAGCTTATGTTTACTTTAAGTTTGGTTTGTTTATCTTGGTAGGGAAACCAAGAGCGGACTCCAAAGCCAACGGCATGGGCAAAGACAAAGGCAAAGGCAAAGATCGCTTAAATTGAATTTTGAAAATTGTTTATTAATTCCATAGCGGCCCAGTTTCACTTCTAAAATGGATCGTCCCGATTCATTATGAATTTCTTTTAATCGTTCTCTTAGTTTTGATAAAAAAAACATTGGTCTTGGTTTGTATCTTTTTCTTTAAAAGTTTCTTCGTGGTTTGTGTTTTCTTCTTTTAAAATTTCTTCTTGGCTTGTATTTTCTTCTTTTAAAATTTTTTCTTGGTTTGTACTGATTTCTAGTTCTGACCGTTGTTTTTTGGTTACAAAAATAAAATTTTCGTATTTTATATAAAGTATAAATATTAAAAATATAATTATAAAATTTAATAATATCAAGGAAATTGATATTTTGGTGCTATTAATTTTTATAAATGGATTGAAAATGTTTATATTCTCAAGAGTTAGCTCCGAATTATTTGAAGCAATATATTCGGAAATGTCATAATTTATGAATTTATGCTGAGCCATATAGTTTTTTTTTCGCTGTTTATGTATTATTGTTAATGTATTGTTGTTATTTATATTGATTGAGTCATTGAACAAAATTAAATATGAACCTTTTAATTGAGTGTTGCCTACTATATTTGTTCCTGTTTTTAAAATGGCACCATCATGTAAGACATCTATTTTATTATTAATTTTTCTTATTTTAGAGCAGTTGGCTTTTTCGCCGTTTAATAATTTTATAAAACAATTAGTTTCAAAACTTAATTTACAATAGTTGTTAAACATAACTTTCTTAAAATTAGTCATTAGGTAATATTTGTTTTTGCAATTGGCAACTTCATTATTTATTAATAATTTTCCATCGGATTTTGCAATAGCTCTTGTTTTGTAAAGGTCACATTCCCATTCTATCATGGGAATTTAATGTAAACTACAAGTAAATCATTATTTAATACAATTTTAAAAGTTGATATGTCCATTAGGTCAGATAATACTACAGATTGTTTTTCATGATTGTAAATTTCTTTAATTTCATTCTCGTTTAAAATTTTTGTATTAAAAATTTTTGCTTTTGCTAAGATAATGGTATCTAATAAATTTTGTAAGTCAAATGTGAGTAACCGCAAACGATGTTTTCGTAAAATTGTTTCCTCGTTGAAAACTACATTTTTAAACTTTCAGTAAGATATTTTACTTCATTAAATAATTTTGAATTTATTGTGAATTGATTGTTGTTGTTTTCAATTAGGCTGTCTATTTTGTTCTAAACCGTTATAAAATCATCATGATCAGGAGTACCTGTTATCCATTTTCATTTCCATGTTATCCTATTTCATTAATTCCTCTTTTTTGTCTTATTGTTATTATTTCTGATAAAGTTAATTTGATGAGTTCCCATTCTATGTCTGGTTTTCAAGTTTTGTTCAAAGATCTTGTTTCCGTGTTAATTATTTCTTCATAAAAACTTAAATTA